AAAAAAAAAAAAAAAAAAAAAAAAAAAAAAGAAAAGTACATTAAGTTGTGCCAGCATTTCTAAAAAGGCAATACAATACATTGCTGCCATTACATCCAGCATAACTGTATTCCATTTTAACAGCATTCATTGTGATATCACATTTTACAGCTAGGTCCAGCAGTTCTCGTTATACAGTTCAAGATGGTACTGTAATCTGTAGTGACGTAGGGACATCAGGACCAGAGGAAGGAACCACAGCTAGCTGAAGTGCAGAATCACTTTGGAATATGCATTGGAATATAGCAAAAGCTTCAGAGTTGAAATAACATTACAAAGAAGCATAGAGAAGAGGGGTGGCTACAGTGTTTCCTTATAAATAGATACTCGAGAAATCTGTGGATTGTGACTTCTGCAAGTACCCATACACACAAGTGAATTTTTACTCAGAAATCCCATTGCAGGCAGCACGTGGAATACCTACTTTAGCCTAAAAAGGCTGCCAATACGGAATATGCATTATATGTTTTTACATTTACATAACATTTAACAAGGTCCCATACATGGCCTGATTTACCTTAGTCATGTGACAACTACAATCATTGCTATCAACAATTGGCAGAGAGGTTCCATGTTCCCTTGTGTAGAGGCTCTCTTGAGGGTGCTCAGTGTGCAGATATTCTAATTTGCTTGAAAAAGATAGTGAGCTATCACTGTTCTGAAGGAGTACAACTGCAAATTATCTATCTATCTATCTATCTATCTATCTATCTATCTATATCTATCTATATCTATCTCTATCTATCTATATCTATCTATATCTATCTATATCTATCTCTATCTATCTATATCTATCTATATCTATCTATATATCTATCTATATATCTATCTATATATCTATCTAGATATATATACATATACACATACACATACACATACACACACAAAAACACACACACACACACACATCAATATCATAATACAGCACTGAAAACTGAAATATTGCCTGGTAAAGATGGTGTATATACAGTCTGGTGCTCTTGTGGTTAAAGCAGCTAGATTTAAACTAAACTCCACGTGCAGTTGTATAACCTGACAAATACTTTCAGTTTCTCAGTAAATAGAAAGTGAAAAAAAATCATGCACAAGCACACTCATACAAAGAATTCCACCAGTGCATATTTACTGGAAATCAGACCGTGTTAAACAGCAGAGCATAAAATAATTCCACCTAAGTCAATCAGAAAAACCTCATTCACTCCCCGTTTCTCTGTAAACTGAAAGTGGAAGCAAAGAAGACATTTGGAAAACAGCAGCAGACAAAAAACAGCAACAAGCATACATGTATCTAAAAATCATCAAGCTCAAATAAGTCTACTATGAATACCAATTTGATCTTCTCATTAAAAGAAGAACTGCTGGAAAAAGGAAAAGGACTACAGGTAAGTTTTGTATTGCATGTTTAAGTCTACTTGATATTTTGGATGCAGCTTCTTTCAATGGTCAGAGATGATAGTTCATTCATGATGAATGTGTGTGGCCTCAGTCACCCTCTCGTTTGGTATATCTTCCATAACAAGATCGCTGCACCTAAAACACCCATCCCAAGGGGGTCTCATTCTAAGAAGACTTGGCATGTACTGAAGCATTTGTGCAGTAGTGCTAGCATGGATGTTGTACCAACATATGAAAATGTATTTATTTACAACAGGAGGCAGGGGCAGTGAGGTGACTATGGTAGAGCACACAACACACTAACTGTAAAAAGGGAACAATAACGTTTTATAGTCTTGGTTTTGGGGTACTACAAGTTATCAGAGTGACAGCAGTTCTGACTTTACCAAAGCTATAACCATCTAGATCTGTTTAAGGCGTAGTTCCACTTTTGCGGCTAACTTTGAGAAAACTAGATGTCTGGTATGTGTTCCCATTCACACAGCATACCAAGATATACTTTTTAAAAATCTATTTCTTACCTTTTAGTTGACCTTTGTGCAGATGTCAAGCTACTCTGAGCAGTTCCAGAGTGAAACTATAGTGTCAGACTGAGGGCTAGAATGCCTCGAAGGCTTTAACCCTTTGGTAGGACAAACTGTGTTCAAATCTAGTTTATAACGGATAATGAAATCTGCCAGCACAGAACAGACAGAGGTAATCAGAACAAGTGAAACTTCACACAACCCTCTTCTTAGCACTACATAAGGGGGAGGCTACATAGGATTTTTAAGTATAAAGCACTTAAAAAAGAATTGCTGCTTTTCTTTTTTTAAGTTATGCTATGTGAATGGGAAAATAGGTGTTATCCCAATTTGGCTGCAAAAGTGGAAATACTTTATTTATTATAAATAAATTATTATAATATTTATTATTTTTGTATATTGTCTGATAATGGGTATTTTCTTGGTGCCACCAAACAAGAATCCCTTGGATATATGTTGCTGCTTACTCTAGTTTTGCAAAAATACAATAAACTGTTAGCTTCATAAAACAAGAACATAAAACAATAGCACTGAACTTACAAAGCTTCCTTCAGTTCACAGAGTCTCTGCTTGCAACACAGCCTGTTTCTTTCTCCAGAATTGAGGGAGACTGCGCAGCTACTTAGTTAGATCCAAGTAAAAAAGGGTGACGTACACCAGAAGCCTGGTCCAAAGAGTGGACTGGCTTTTGGAAGGATAGTCTCACCTTTGCCCTTTACTTGATTGCAGGTACCCAGTAGCTCAAAACACAGAGGGGAATTTATCAAAACTGGAGCAGAGAAAAGGTGGAGCAGTTGCCCGTGGCAACCAATCAGCTTCTCTCTTTAGTTTGTTTAGTCAAGATTTGAAAATGAAAGAGAGAAGCCGATTGGTTACCATACAAAGCTGCTCCAGATTTTGATAAATCCCCCATGTCCCTCTCCACCAGAAGCTGTTGACTTTCAGGTACAATAACATGAATCACTCTCATGACTCATTCATTTTGAACCACTGACTTTTGTCAAAGCTAAAAATGTAAATGGCTATACATTTGAAAAATAAAGCTCTAGCTTTAGGCAGAACAAAAACTATTATGCATGTATATGTAATACTTTATATTTTTTTAAGTTTCACACCTTTTATCTTTTTTTGTCCTATATCCCTGTATATTATGATTTGTGACAGATTCTTGCTTGGAAATGACCAAAACACATTTTCGGTCAGTAAAAATGTGGATTGACCCTCCAGTGCTCTGTGCTGGAATAGCTGAATAAGAGTCTCATCACAACTATCCTTAACATTGTCTATGTATATTCCAGTGAAAGAGAGGGGGTATCACTTTCAGTTTTATACTACACTTTCAGTTCTTGTTCTGAATGAAAACTCCCAAGCTATTTTTTAATAGAAAGTGCCTCGGCTGAATGCCTTGGAACTAACAGTTGTAGAACACTCAGGATCTGTACACCACAATCTATCTTATTCGTTGTAGAATAATAATAGGAGAGCCAGGTCACTATCCACTATATGCATATGCACACAAGCTATTGTGTGGCACTACGTTCTTAAAAAGGGAAAGGAAAGAAATAGCAAAAACATTGACCATGGTACCATTGTCTCTGTCTTGACTTTTAGAAAGTTCATTGTTCATTTCCCAAGAGTAAGTAATTTTTTGCTTTGTTGCAGTGAAAATAATGGAGGTAAGCTCTGAAAAAGTTTATTTGGAAATTCCTCATCCAGGGCTCTGCTTAAATTGCAATGAAGCACATTATTAAGAGCACGGATCCTGATCCAGAAGTAATGTACAAATGGACATGTCACCAAATATAAACCTTGTGAGTTACAACTCTGAAGGCAATTAGGTGAAAGATTAGGTTCATATTTAGAAATATCAGCTGGACGCACAGTAATATCAGCAAAAGAGAGGACTTTAGAGTTTCCCAAGAGTCTAATGTTTTATTACAGCTTGTTGCTGTAATGGCCCAAATGTCAGGCCAACCAATTACTAAATAAAGGAGGTAAGAGGAGTAGAACTTGCATACCAAGAAAAAAAAACAAAAAAAAACCAAAACCCCATACTTGTGCGTCTCTACCAACATAGTTAGTATTCAATTAGCAAAAGTTGTTGTACCTCTGTGTTTCACGCTCATGAGCTACCAGCACATACCGGTACGTTCTCTTGCAGCCTCGGTTTACTCAAAAACGCACGGAGCTACCTTGAAATTTCTCTACTTGTGTTAGGCAGGACTACAGGCAAAACTGTGAGGGCAGAGCTTGCAACAAATGTTATATGTTGTCAGCATATGATAGTGCTGCGACTCCTGGCATCATACTGCACACAAAAGGTTAACTTTAAAGAGCACCTCCAGCCAAAACATTTTTTAGCTTTGAACAGAGTGATATCTGGGGCTCCATTCAAGAGGTTTCCCCCTCACTTACTATCCTGGTGCCCCATTGTTTTCTGCAATGCAAAATAGGCTCAGTCTGCATCAGAAAGAGACATTTCCAATAGATGTGCACCGAAATAAAAAATAAAAATTGTCAGGCCGAAACCGAAAGTGTTTTTTTTTCTATAGAAAAAGAGATTGAGGACAGAGTGCTCAATCTCTTTCTGCAGCCCCCGTTATAAATGAACAGGAATCCTCTATACTGAGTGTTACTGTTCATTCATAACTTGAGGACATAGTATGTTTACTATAAACCACAACCATGAATGAACAGGAAGTTATGTAGATCACTTCCCATTCATTCATAATTGAGGATATAGTAACCATACCATGTCCTCAATTACAGTATATATACAAAAACTCAGCGATCACTGATCGCTGAGTGTTAGCTCTCGTCTCCTTCCTGACAGCTGTCACAGGAGGCTGGGCGTGGGGAATTGTGACAAGAGGCTGAGCGGTGTGGGAGGAGAGATGCTGGCCGCTCACAGTACGCTCTCCTCCCGCATCGCTCGGCAGCCTGTCACACTTTCTCTCCTCCCCGCTGGGATACAGAGCAGCGCCCAGCAGGGAGGAAAGAAAGCAGGGATGCGCCGCTGTATCGGCAGAAAAATGGCACTTTCGGCATTTAGCCAAAAGTGCCATTTCCGGCCGATATGTTTAGGCGGCCGATGTATCGGTGCATCCCTAATTTCCAACGCTTCTTCCCAATGTATCATTTACAATTTCTAGACTGTTTAGGGATGGGGGAACCTATGTCATTTATTAGGAAAGTCAGTAAGCTGAAAAGACTACTGGTGTCCCTGTTTGGTGGTAAAGGATGGGTAGTCCAAATCAGACCTATCAGGAATGCAAATGTGCTGTAAACTAGAGAATAGATTGACAGGATTATGAAGACACTGCTGACCTGGCAGTAAGTGAAAATCCCAATGTAAATGTAAATACTAAGCCCTATTCACACCTGTACTTTTTTTAGGTTTTTGCGCATTTTCCTACACGCTACAACAGTTATTTTCTATTTTGTGCCCGTTTACATCTTTATGCTCAGTTGCTTGAAGCACAAAAAAGGTACATGAGCATTTTTAGAGCTGTGCCATGCATTTTTTGGCCCCATAGACTTTAATGGAAATGCCTGTAAACTGCTTGCACAAAGCTTGCAAAACACACAAAAAAAAAAGTGTGTCTATGCGTGTAAAGGGCTCTGCCTAGGTGTGAATGCAGGGTTAAGGATTTATTTCCTTTGTCCCTCGCAATGCATATAGGAAGTAATTTTATTTAGATAAAAGCACTGAAACAGAGTACATACCTGGTGATCCTGCCAGTCCCCTTCTCAAACACCTCCTTCTGGACCACTCAAGGCATGGATGTAGATCTTTCCTAGTATGGCCAATTTGCATCTCTTTGCCCATGTGTCTCTGGCCCCGTAGTCAGCCTACTGCTGACAAACCCCCTGTGCAGCCATTCCCAACTTTAGTGACAGCAGTTTGAATATGCAATGCTGGCAAGTCACAAGGAGATGTAGCCCACACCCCTCATGCCCACACATTTCCATTTCTATGGTGTGCTTATTAACAATATCCTAGATGTTTTATATTTTTTAAACCAAGGCTTTACTTACACTTTAAAGGTACCTCAGTTAGCTAGCAGTATATCTGTCTTTTTGATTAGTTTGATTGATAGGTGGATGTCTAAATGGCTGAAGTAAACAACTTAAAGTGGACCTGTTCCCCAAAACATAAAAGCAACTCTGCATATTTAATAGTAAACACTTTACATTCATATCCAAGAGGTTGTGTTTCCTTTAGCCTCCATTCACATATAGCGTTTGCTTTTCCCGCACAGTTTTCCATGTGGTCACGAAAATGCTAAAATCTTTACAAGTGCATGTATTGCGCTCGTTTGCGGCTATTACTATAGCTGTGAAAGTGCGGAATCCAACCCTGAAATTGCGCTTGGACTATTTTGCGGGACGCACTGTTTTGTACTGCACAGTCCCCACAATAGTCTGAACAATGCAAATTAAAATGCATTTCTTTTAATGTTTAGCACGGTTCCACGCGTATTGGTACAGCCAAATACGCGCAGATAACCACTCCTATGTGAATGGAGCCTAAAAAAAAAAAAAAAAACTTACATTTTTGGGCTTTTTTTTTTTACTTTTGCCTTTTCAGGAGCACTTGTGATGTAGCCAGTGCCTTCCAGGTGCCCACTGGGAAGGCTATGTTACTGGTGTCTTTCAGTGAACCATTGTAAGTAAACTGCAAGTCTTGTGAGATTTAGAAGAAAAGCCTTTTCATTTTTTTTTCTACACAGATCTGGCACAGACATCATTGGTGGGCCGGCCCAGAGAACAAGGAAGAAGAATCTGGTCACCAAAGACATTACTAGTAAAATTGGGAACATGGGATTATAAGGAGGAGCAGAAGAGGACCTTTAGCACGTGTGAAAACACAAACCCAAAAGGTAAGAAATTATACATTGATGTGTTTATTTGACTAGAGTACCTGCAGTAATGGTGGCAGTGTCATATGAGGATGGAAAGGTAGACCATTAAGACTTGGGCAAGACGATATTAAAATGAAAACATTTCTACGAACAATGCTTATGTTAGAATCAAGGGATATTATTCTTACCAGTTCCTGATCTTTCATCCAATACTGCAGTTTGTCAAACTCAAATCCATTTACATTTGATGTTATTACTCGGTAAAGCGTGTAGTAGACACTTTCACAACACACTATAATGCAAGCAAATGTGATCAGTGATATTCTAGAGAACAGTAACAAAGTTAAAAAGAAGACATGGATTTTTATGTGCCATTTCATTTTTAACAGAATTATTGTATTAAAGGGCATCTATGTTCAAAAACTAAAAATGAATATGTATTTCTACATTGGATTTCCATTTCTATCCCACTCTTAATAACCATATTGATCTTAAGTTTGTAAGCCTACTTATTGAAGACGCCCATAGAATGACTGACACAATTTCACTCAGCCCTGTGAATATGCACTTCCTTGCGTTACTGCTCCCAGAGCCTGCCTTCTGAACTACAACTCAATTTCATTGTTTACTAGAAGCAATGCATGGTGGGCTATGCAGTCTTGAGAAATCAAAGATTGCATCACAACAAGCAGCAGGGAAAGAGATGCAAAGCACACTGGGAATCCAGGAAGCTCTTGAAAGTGATGGGCAGACAAAAGGCAAAAATTCACTACATAAAAAGGGATTTTTTCAAGCAAGCTGTGAGTTAAAAAATATGGGTTAACCTTTTCTCCCCCCGTAGTACTCTTGGGGTCACAGGAGGACATATACCAACGTCCTCCCATGACCCAAAAATAGCGAGCTATTACTTGCTATATGGTGAGAGTGCCGCAGCCAGACAGATCCCGAGAATACTGTCGAGACCCACCCCGCTGGCTGATAGGCAGAGCCCACTGTGAATCTAGAGGCAGAGCCAGCTATGCCTGCCCCCTGCCCTGTCCATCCCTCCAGTCAGCGCTGGGGGATCAGAGAAGGGGGAGCGGTGACTGACAGTCACCTCTCTCTGCAGAGAGGATTGGGAGGTGAGCGAGCGGCTGTGTTTTCGGTCACTTTCCAATCAATAGAGCCTATGTGTGACAGTTTCAATGTCACACGTCGGCTCTAAATAGGAGTAATTCACTCACCCCATAGTTCTCCTTTAAGTTGAAAATAAAAAAAACTACTTGTTAAGTAGCATTTACTAATAGTTATCCCAGGATATCAACTGTGGACTTCACAGAGACTCCAGCACTTATGCACAATAAGTTTTATGATCAGTGAAGCACACTCATTTCTTGGGACAATGGAACTAGAGAAGTAGGGAAGACCTGAAGTGTCAAACCAAGGACAATGACTATTTAACTACTTTGGAGGTTCAAGATGACTTATGTAGTCATGAGATGAAATAACGAGTTGTATGTGTACTGATTCATAGTTTATTCAATTGAAAAATATTTACCTTCTGGACTTGCAAAATTGCTATCAAAAATTTGCACTGGTAATATTTTTCTTAGTTCAGACAATCTAATGACTTCTGTAATTTTTAGCTTGCTTGGCCTGCAATGAAAAAAAAAAAAAACACAACACACGCAATCAGACTAATGGTCACAAACCTTATTAGGCTATACAGCAAGGACATACACAGCAGTTTATTAGTATACTGGTAATGGATTAGCACCTTTATATTTTTAATGTGGTCTACACTCACCTTCCCACTGTTCCCTTCACTTCCCTTTCCAGTGGAGAGGAATAGGGGAGTAAAAACAAATCTGTCCTGCTTATAAACCTTGACTGCGCTATCCGAAACATAAAAGCAAGTTTAGATTGTTAGTTTAGTTAGTTGTTTAGATCTTAAGGGCCCGTTCACACCATCCAGTGTGTTCATCGCACAGTCCTGTGGCATGAACGCACTGGATAGCATAAACAAAGTCTGCCTGCATTCTGGGCGGGAGAGGGGCATGTTTTTTTTTTATTAATTTCAATGGCATCGTTGACATGCCCTACCCACTCACAGTGCAATCGCCCGCACTGGAACGAGTGGTACCGCAATGCTCTGTATTCCAGTGAAGTGTGATCGCAAAAAATAATACATGCACAGTAACCACTGTGACATAATTATTTTTTACCAAGACTATTGTTCCTCAGCAGTCATACTCAGGCCACCAAGCAACTGTAAACAACGGCAGGCCAAGAATACTTAGTTCCCAAAAGCAGAGCCTCATTACCAGCTAAAAAGGTCATAAACGTCTTAGTTTAGAATAGAAAACCTTGAACACACAAAGTAAACTAGGTAAACATTCTTAATGTCCACTGTGCACTCCCTTATGCCCACACAGGTGAGCAGTGAACCTTATAGGTTGAGCCTAAATGGCTGAAATACACACAGGCATTTAGGGCAGCAGACACTTTTTGAATTAGCTAATGATGACCTTGGCACTATGTTAGCACAAAGGACCTAGGTGCACTCCTGCATTCAGCACCTGTGTGTGCAAACAAAGAAGAGTGTGCATCAGTCAAATTCAAAATTCTCCATGTGATCAATGGATATGATTACTGTATAATGATAAAGTATTGTACACTGTAGCCTGGTTAGTCACCATTGGAGGCACAGGTTCATTCCTCACAAGGTTTATAAATTAAAGTGTATGTGTGAACAAAAATCGAAAACTAAAATAGAGTAAGGCCTGCTCACACATGCACAGTTTCCGGTTTTTGTTTTCTTTACAGATTGCTATTAATAGTGAAAGATACCAGGTGCCTGCCAAAAATACAAGCAATACTCAATTTCCTTCCATGGGCTGCCAACTACTATACTGACATGGTAAGCAGCATTATTTGGCTGGAAATGTCTGAAAACTGCTGATGCGCTCCAGGGTGGAGTAATTATCTAAAGGCACTTTGCACACTGATGAGGGGCACTGGAGGAAAGCAGACATGACCTTTGCACTTGTATTCTAGGTAACATGCTACATAGGAAATTTGCTAAAGAGGGTTTACATCTACTTTAATATCAGCCCCAATCTAAATATTGTTAATACTTGGATTTGTAGCAAATGTTCTTAAAAGCCAGAAATCCATACTTACAGCTGTGCAGGAATGCTGCAAGTGCTTGATGACTTGAACTTAATATCGCATGCCAGATGTTCCTGAATATATAACTGTCCTTTCCATGCATTATAAAGCTCTTTAAAAAGGAGAGAAAATATTAAAAAAGTAAAAATGTACAAAAACAGTTGCACTATATCAATATAGATATAAAAATATGCACTATACCTGGACTGTTCAACTGGAGCCTGGTTAAAAAGACAAAAAATAACTAATCGTAAAACATAATTATGTCGACGATGAAATTACAAATGACAGTTACTGCATTACATACTAATAGAAAGTACAAAGCAGCGAAGGCACTGGCAGAAATACTTGCATGTGCTGATAGAAAAAAATATAGAACTTGCCTATGGTAACCAGTTTCTAACTGAGATCCGGGATATTACTCATTAGAGGCAACACCTCCACTATGTTTTTTTAGAAGGCCTAAAGAAAGTCTTGCTTCAGGGGTTGCTATTCATGAACAAATAGACAAATGCTATATATAAATGTATCCGTCTGCTATGCAAGTCTTTATAAAAACTAAATGTTCCTCTTGTGTAAGAGAAATTCCAAGCAAGTAATTGCTTACATATCAGGGTCTTGTAATACTGGCATGTTACATCTATGTCATTCAAAAGGAGGCAGTTATATAATGGAGGTTTGGCCTTGGCTGTAGACGACTGCCATTGTGTTATCCGTATGCTCAAGACTGAAAGATATACAAAACAGTAATCTATTAGTACAACTAACGTGCCATAGCTAACTACAAACTAACTACAGGTGCCTAAAAAATGACTAAGATTCATAAATTACACGGGCCAATACCAAGCATGGCGTGAGTATTAAGTAGAGGAAGAGATCATATAAATCTGTATGTTAGACTTAAAAAGAGTACTTAGCAAAATGTAACCCTCAATAGCAAACATATTTTCACCGACATTTGCATTACAAAGCTACTTAGGTGATGCCTGCTGTTGGATGCAGGCAAGGATGCATTAACAAGTCCTAAACTAACATCTGCAATGCAAAGCAGATTTCTGTCAGCTGTCTACATAAATATGAAGCATTTTGCATGGCCAATTCATGAGGCCTACTGGAGATACTGTTCTATCAAATCATACAGTTAACAGTGAAAAGTTTTATCCGCTGGAGATTTTGCTACTGAAGATCACTTCACTAATTCCTGGTTCAGCTTTACTGCTTCCCAGGTCACCTGACAACCCACTGGACAGAAGAGGATGGGGAGTCATTGTCCAATGAGCAAGCAGGAAGCAGTGAGATGACACTAGAATCTGCAATCCTAAAACAGGAAATATGTTTACCACCTGCTGGCTATGCAATGTAGCAAGAGTACATCACATAGCTAGTTAAATATAATTATAAAAACTTTGGCAGGTAACCTAGTAAACATGTATGTGTATTCAGCTGTTCACCTGAAGTTTTCCTTTAAAGGAAACCTGTGCTGAGAGAAGTACAGAGGGTAAAATTCTAAAAATATCAGACGTTTGTATGTAAAGTTTATTGTCTAAAATAAACAATTTCTGAACTATTGTTCTGGAAGAAGTATGCAACAAATTAGGGGTGCACCAAAATTGTCCAAAAATGCAGAGCATCCCTAGCATCTCTCCTCCCCACTCGGCACCAGTCTATGTCCCCTCTGATACCCGCTGCTCTCACCCGCCTATGGTCGGCAGAGGCAGTGGGGATCGAAGATGACACGGCTCAGTGTCCAGCGGGAGGAGAGAAGCAGTCAGTAGGCCGAACAAGGTGGTGCGGGGACGAGACAGCTCTCAGAAGCTGCCACCTCCTGTGACAGGAGGAGCAGTCGGGATGGAAAGCAGAGTACAAACACTCAGTGATCACTACTGATCACTGAGTGTTGTAAATAAGGGAGGACATAGTAAGCTTACTGTGTCCCCAGTTATGAATGAACAGAAGAGCTGCACATAACTACCTGTTCATTTATTCATGATTGTGGACATCACAACTGATACTATCTCCACAGTTTATGAATGGAAAGGAGCACTCAGTATGGAGGCTTCTTGGTCATTCATAACAGGTACTGAAGAAAAAAAAAAAGAGATTAAAGGACTCTGTGTCCTCAAATCTCTTTTTCTATTTTAAAAAGGGAAATATCAGGTGTCTGTTTAGATACGTGATATTTCTCCAAAGCCCCCAACAGTAAAATAAAAAAATACATAAATAAAATAATTAAAATATAATACAGGCAGTCCCCGGGTTACATGCAAGATAGGGACTTTAGGTTTGTACTTAAAAAGTGACATTAAACCCTCAGATTTTTTGACATAAAACAATAGTGTAATGTGTGCCTTACTGTAATCCATGGTAGTTTCCCTTCTCTTTGCTGCTCTTCCTTTTAAATCTGTATCTGTTCTCATGCTGGGCAGAACTTCTGTTTTGCAGCAGACTGCCTTGTCTCAGGAATGGATACACGGTGTCTGTGTGCAGGTTCACAACCTGAGCCAGCACTACAGGAAGAGGCCCTGAGCTGAAAAGGGAAGTTCTCCCCAAGCATGAGAAGACATGAGGATTTAAAAGGAAGAGCAGCAAAGAGAAGGGAAACAACCATGGATTACAGTAAGGCACACATTACAGTATTGGTTTATGTTAAAAAATCTGAGGGTTTAATGTCACTTTAAGTTGAATTTGTATGTAAGTCGGAACACTCCAAATTCCACACTTCAGAATTTGTATGCAATTCCAGCCAAAAAAAATATTTTTTTCATTTTGGATAGCATAGGGAAGGGTCACGTTTGTTTTGCTGTCTGTTCAGAAGATGATATAATTTTAAAACATTTTTATTCAAAATGGCACACCAAAAAAAGTTTTTTTCTATTTTTAATTTATACACTTTATTTTTTTTTTGCATTTTTAATTAACTTTTTTTCCCTTTTTTTAAAAAATAATTGTTTTGTCTTTAATCTTTTTTTTTTCCAATTTTATTTTAATGCTGGGATCGGCCGGACCGGGGAAGAGGAGAAGACAGACAGCTGGGACATCAGCGGAGGGAAGAGGACGCTGGGACATCGAAGGTACAGGGGGCAGCTAGGTATGCAGCATGTCCCCGCTGCCTCTGCAAAACAGATGCGCAGAGAGCAGCAGGGATTTGAAGGGACACAGGCCGCTGCAGCTGTCGGTACATTTAGGAAAACTATGGACACGGGTTAATAAGTACGGATTGTCCGTAAGTCGGACGTCCGTAAGGTTGGGGGAAAAAAAAGGTAATTTTCGGTTTTAACCAGACAAAGGTTTTTATTTCAGTCTGAACATGTCATTTCAGTGCATCGCTACAACAAATGAAGTCAGAACACCTGATCTGCATATTTGTTCCGGGTAAGAAACACAAAATACAGGTTATTATACAAGCATTAAAGTCAGGAAACCAGCATTTTCAAAAAAAGAGAGGCAGGCAATGGCAGTCTTCACACGTCTTACATCACGTTTACTTTAAGATCATGTTAACATTCAGCATATTTTTTTATTTATCTGGGGGAAAGAAAAGATTACTATATTCAATTTCAAATGCCTATTTTGAGTTACTCAGCAACAAAATGGTATTGTCCCTATATAAAAAATCACCTACTCCAGGAAAATAAAAAATACATGGGACCCAGTACGACAGATGTAGTCAACCTCGGCATTCCAGCTGTGCTGAAACTACAACTCCCATCATGTCTCTGCCGTTGGGAGTCAGCGTTTTGCAATGCCTCATGGGACTTGTAGATTCACCACAGCAGGGAGTGCCAAGATTGCCTATCCCTGCAGTTGACTTACCCAGTGCAAAATTCATAACATGTGCTGGAAATTTTGTAAAACTTTCTCCTGTTTCTCCCTTTTTCGTCTCTTTTTTTCTCTCCCTTTTTGCCATTTTGGACTTCCACTCTAAAGCTGGCCATAAACCTATAGATTATCTGGAGATTTTCTATGGTTAGATGGAAAAAGTGCAACAGATTCCTCCATCTACGCTAAACTGTGTAGATGGAGGAATCTCCTGCTGGGCAAAGCTTCACTACCTTGCAAGTCGGCCACGCTGGCTCTCAAAACACCTGAACAATGCCGGAACCAATCAGATTGTTCAGGTATTTTGACAACCAGCGGGGCCGACCAGAAAGATACTGAAGCTTGGCCCAGTGGGAGATTACTCCATCCACACAGTTTAGCGTAGATGGGAGGAATCTGTTGCACTTTTTCCATCTAACCATAGAAAATCTCCAGATAATCTATAGGTGTATGGCCAGCTTAAGACCCCCTGGACTGGTGCTTTAAATCGCCACGATAAGAAAAAAAAAATGGTCTATTGATAATTTCCTTTGGAATCTCTACTGAAAGCAAAGAGGGCAAAGGAAATAACATGCATTTAGGACTTACAGGCGTGCCTGCACGTTCCAATAGCCATTTACTTTATTGAAGAGCTGCAAAACACAGTAACACGACCTTCCTCCAGAACAACAGAGGATAACTACATATTTCCAGTAAAGTAATGGCTGCTGAAGTGAAAACAGCACCTAGGACTATGTTAGCAGAACAATCAAAAGTCCATATAACCCATCGCACTCCTGACCGGAAAATGCCCAATGTATCAGGGCGGGTGCAGCAGCAACAACGGATGCCTCCAGCAAAACGTACAAAAAAAATAAAGTCACCGGCACTCCAAATGATCAAGTCAATAAGTTTATTAACCCAAGTGATAACACCTCTAGCAACGTTTGCCTGAGGAAGGGGCCGCATGGTCCTGAAACATTGCTAGGAGGTGTTGGGTCACTTGGGTCAATAAAACCTTATTGACTTGATAATTTGGAGTGCCCGTGACTTTATTATTTTTTTTGTATGTTATCAGAACATCTTGGAGAGCAGAGGGAGTAGAAAATGCGTATTCTTCAGCTGGAGAACTTACCTCTTCATTAACTGGCGTGTGATTTACCAGACTGCCTTGACTGCATAGATATCCTTGCTGGACACCTCCACCGACTGAAAAAGGGAGAACATTGTTCAATCCAGAATACATCCTTAATCAATTTCAATCAATATTAGTAGCAAAAGAAAGTCAAATGAAAAACAACATGCATGTCAGTTTTGACAGTTTGACATTTTACTTATTTTTTACAATAACTTTCCACTCCCTTAGCTGAAAATGTAGTAGGCTTAAACCACCCTAAACCAGCTACTATTTTTAATAGAGGAAGTGCAAGTTCTCCGGTATAAAATGTAGACAAAACCATCAGCTTCCAAAGCACATGTATTAGGTGCTGCTCCAGGTCGGTCCACACGCCAGCTCGCAAGTAGCCACAAAATACACCAACTATGAGGAAACGTGGCACTCCTTTATCAATTAAAGATCTTAGTGCAAGCCTTAATTCATAATTTTCATGAAAGATTACACAACGATCTACAATTTATATGCGAGTGCCATGTATCCTTAGGCCCCATTCACACACGAATCGGCCTGTATGTACAGTTCCGTGCTGCAAGCGGTGCTGTGCCAAGCAGCTGCTGGGAAGGACAGGTGCTGCGTGTGATTAGTACGCAGCCACCGTCCTTCTCTATGGGGCTACGCCCCCTACGCTCACCTCAATTGCAGGTCCGTAGGGGTGCGGGTGAGCATATTCATATGCCGCCAGAATGGATCCTGTATGCGTCCCGGCCAGAAAAACCGCA